TATATCTTCCAAGCCAATGAAGACGAACGTCTTCAGTACTGGTGAAGAAAAATCTGCTCTATATAATGTTAAAACAAGCTAAGCTGTATCAGCTGTATTTTTTTTTTCTGGAACAAAAAAATGTTTAGTCCAAAATGCATTATCACACATCTTCTTCCAGAATGGTCAGAAATATAACTACTACCTTGTTCTAGAGTTCATTCCATATCGTTATTAAAAATTTTAATCGTAATCTTTCCTTTCAATCATGTTACTCACTTCAGTCCAATGACACATTATGTAAACCCTCTTCCTATAAAATTAGTTTTAGCTGTGACATATATAATCTAAATGTGTAATCTATATAATGCCATCTCACATTTCTCAAACTGCCTGCACCTATGAGCTTCAGATCTTTCAATCCAATAAAGACACATCGAACCGACATCAAATTGAGAGCCAATCTTTAAAATCATTATTTAAATGATGACGAATTCTCAATATTAATTCAGATTAAACTATAACCTACATCTTTGGTACTATGCTATACCTGCAACATATATCTACAATTTTTTTTTACAGTTAATTTATCTACTCTCTGATAAATTCATCCCAATTTATATTATAATATCCCAATTTTCAACTAATATATCTCTACATCCAGCCATATCTATGTTTGCAACCATCATGTTGTCCTAACATTTCGTATTCATTACACTTGTCCATTTTCCTTCATCGTTATTACGAACGTCAGTCATTATTTCTACCAGAATTCACTTATATATCATCATATACCTGCAAATATAACTGACACCTTGTTCTACAGCTCATTCTCTGCTCTCCTGAAATATTCTTCTCGTAAGATTATTCATATACTCAACAATAAAATCGCCAAAATCTATCATATTCTACTACGTTACTAACACATTTAAACCCCAAAGTTATTTTTCATCAACTAAGTTTGATCCTATTTCTACAGCCTATTTCACTGACGTCACACTATTTCCAATGAAGACACATCGAACCGACATCAAATTGAAAGCCAATCTTTAAAATCATTATTTAAATTATGACGAATTCTCAATATTAATTCAAATATAACCATAATCTACATCTTTGGTACTATCCTATTACATATCGTCAATACAAATTTTAATCGTAATCTTTCCTTTCAATCATTTTATTCACTTCAGTCCAATGACACATTATGTAAACCCTCGTTCTATAAAATTCATTAATAGCTGTGACAAATATAATTTACATTTGCAATCTATCAAATGCTATCACACATTTCTCAAACTGCCACAAAAACTACTCAAGCCATATCGTAGCCTCGCAAGGGATACTAGATTCTCCTTGTCACCCTACATCAAGATAGCAGAAAAAAGATCAACAGCAGTTGCTAGACTTCACGGTACAGAAAAAAATCTCTGGATTCATTATGACTTCCTTAATATGTGTTCTTTTACTGCCTGCACCTGTGAGCTTCAGATCTACCAAATCCAATGAAGACACATCGAACCGACATCAAATTGAGAGCCAATCTTTAAAATCATTATTTAAATGATGACGAATTCTCAATATTAATTCGGATTAAACTATAACCTACATCTTTGGTACTATGCTATTCCTGCAACATATATCTACAATCTTTTTTACAGTTGATTTATCTACTCTCCGATAAATTCATCCCAATTTATATAATAATATCCCAATTTTCAACTAATATATCTCTACATCCAGCCATATCTATGTTTGCAACCATCATATTGTCCTAACATTTCGTATTCATTACACTTGTCCATTTTCCTTCATCGTTATTACGAACGTCAGTCATCAATTTTACCTGCATTCACTTATTTATCATCATATACCTGCAAATATATCTGACACCTTGTTCATTCTTCTGCTCTTCTGAAATATCCTTCTCGTAATTCATATCATCGTATTTAACATCGTATTCATATACTCAACAATAAAATCACCAGAATCTTTCATATTCTACTACGTTACACACATTTAAACCACAAAGTTATTTTCCTTCAACTAAGTTTGAAACTATTTCTACCGCCTATTTCACTGCGGTTTTATCCCTAAAACCTAATCTCATGTAAGATTTTCCCAATTTTCAACTATTATATCTCTACATCCTGCCAATCTACGTTTGCCACCAACATATTGTCCTAACATTTCGTATTCATTACACTTGTCCATTTTCCTTCATCGTTATTACGAACGTCAGTCATTATTTCTACCAGAATTCACTTATATATCATCATATACCTGCAAATATAACTGACACCCTGTTCTACAGCTAATTCTCTGCTCTCCTGAAATATTCTTCTCGTAAGATTATTCATATAGGCTACTTAACAATCAAATTGCAAAAATCTTTCATATTCTACTACGTTACTGACACATTTAAATCCCAAAGTTATTTTCCACAAACTAAATGTGAACCCATTTCTTCAGCCTATTTGAAGCCCCTAAAGGCAAAGTGGACTAACCCTCAAATTTTCTGTTTTGAGATTGGTATAACTACTGGTGAAGAAAAATCAGCTCTATATAATGTTAAAACAAGCCAAGCTGTATCAGCTGTATTTTTTTTTTCTAGAACAAAAAAATGTTTAGTCCAAAATGCATTATCACACATCTTCTTCTAGGCAGAATGGTCAGAAATATAACTACTACCTTGTTCTAGAGTTCTGTAACGAGTCAAATGGGTAGGGGGGTAAAAATATAACGATCTAGACCACGAACATTAAACAGCTAAACATAAGCTGTTGAGTAAGCCTAGTCGCGACACTAAACTGACGTCGTACCTAACCTCCAATTCCAAGACCGCAGACGACGTTGGTGTCAGTTTGGTTGTTTGGCTGTTCGACTGCGTCTGAGGCCGGGCTACGGGAGAGAAGATGAGCAGCGGGGTCACCTTTGAGCGGTACGCGGCTGTAAGCCTGTTAAAGCTGCCATGCGCCTGCCTTCGCTGCCAGTTTTTTTTTGTTTCTGTAACTCGTTGACCAATCAGGAATCGTTTTAACTTTCGTCTCGATTCTGAGACGAAGGTGAAATAAGAAGAAGTTTTGTGAAGATTTGGTCATTCGTATTCCCGGCTTTTGAAGGATTCGCTAATTCGTCTTTTCGTCTTCGATTTGAAGAGTTTTTGTTTTTTTCGTTCGTAGCTTAAAAGTTAGCCTACATTAAGTTCGTGGTGCATCGAGTGCGCTAAAAGTGTTTTACAGTAGTATTACTTCGTTTGGTAAGTTGTGTAAAACTAAGACAACTTAGGTTTTTCTTTTGTCACTTGTGTTTCGGCAGAACTTTGTCGAAGTTCCTAGTCTAGGCCTGATTCGCAGACCTCGTCATACGCTTTAACCAACTCATTTAATTAAAGTATCGGAGTTGGTGACAGATCATTTCGATTAACGTTTCGTAATCCATATCTGGGACTTTCTTTTTAAATTCTTAAACCCCTTTGTAAAGTTCCCGAACGCCCCGCAGTTGGCCCCAGCAGACAGGTTTCTGCTTGATAATTATTGCAGAAGTTTGCTTAAGTTGAACACGTGGGGATGTTGAAGTTTTAGTTTTTCTTTTTTTCGTATCAGCTCCTGAAGCAGTTTTATTTTTAGTTTCAGTTTTTCTCTCGTTTCGTGTCTCACTTGGACAACTTAAGCCAACTCGTTTTCTTGTTTAGTAAATTCAGACTCTGTGGGAGTTAGGCTAGGTTAGGCCTATCTTGTACTAACCTTGTTTGTTTCAGGTTGACGACGTAACTCCGTAGGTAAGCGGAGTGACTACTTAGCTTACTTGTTGATTTGTTAAGTTAGCTAGTAGTGTGTCATTTAGATATTTGCCCACAGAGTCAAGTCAAAATTATTTATTTCCCCACAAGCCCTAGGCTAGAGTGGTGATTTCGAGTAGGGTGTTTAGTAACCCGCAACGTTCGTCTCGAGCTCTGACAACCAGGGCTATCAAACTTAGGCTATCCGAATCACTATCGACTCCTGGGAAACTCCCCGCGACCAGACTAGGGCGAATCCTGGGATCCTCGTTTTGTTACCGGTGGCGTAATTTCCCACTTGTCGTCCGCCAGGAAAATTACGTCACAGTTCATTCCATATCGTTATTAAAAATTTTAAACGTAATCTTTCCTTTCAATCATGTTATCCACTTCAGTCCTATGACACATTATGTAAACCCTCTTCCTATAAAATTAGTTTTTAGCTGTGACATATATAATCTAAATCAGTAATCTATATAATGCCATCTCACATTTCTCAAACTGCCTGCACCTATGAGCTTCAGATCTTCCAATCCAATAAAGACACATCGAACCGACATCAAATTGAGAGCCAATCTTTAAAATCATTATTTAAATGATGACGAATTCTCAATATTAATTCAGATTAAACTATAACCTACATCTTTGGTACTATGCTATTCCTGCAACATATATCTACAACTTTTTGTACAGTTAATTTATCTACTCTCTGATAAATTCATCCCAATTTATATTATAATATCCCAATTTTCAACTAATATATCTCTACATCCAGCCATATTTATGTTTGCAACCATCATGTTGTCCTAACATTTCGTATTCATTACACTTGTCCATTTTCCTTCATCGTTATTACGAACGTCAGTCATTATTTCTACCAGAATTCACTTATATATCATCATATACCTGCAAATATAACTGACACCTTGTTCTACAGCTCATTCTCTGCTCTCCTGAAATATTCTTCTCGTAAGATTATTCATATACTCAACAATAAAATCGCCAAAATCTTGTGACGTAATTTTTTTTTTTTTTTTTTTCTAAAAAAGTTTTAGATTTCTTTAGCGTAATTAACGTAACAAAATATACAATACATGTACACAAAATTATTTAAGCGGAATGATTACTAAATGGCAAATGTGTGAGTGAGTATAAAACTAGTTTCCATCGACCTCAACTTCACCCTCTTCTTCGTCGAATTCTTCTTCATCTGCTGTCGCTTCCTGATACTGTTGATACTCGGACACCAGGTCGTTCATGTTGGATTCTGCCTCGGTAAACTCCATTTCATCCATACCTTCTCCCGTGTACCAATGGAGGAAAGCTTTGCGTCTGAACATGGCCGTGAACTGTTCTGAAATCCTCTTAAACAGCTCCTGAATGGCCGTTGAGTTTCCAATAAACGTGGCCGACATCTTCAAGCCTCTGGGTGGAATGTCGCACACATTTATTGGAAACTCAACGGCCATTCAGGAGCTGTTTAAGAGGATTTCAGAACAGTTCACGGCCATGTTCAGACGCAAAGCTTTCCTCCATTGGTACACGGGAGAAGGTATGGATGAAATGGAGTTTACCGAGGCAGAATCCAACATGAACGACCTGGTGTCCGAGTATCAACAGTATCAGGAAGCGACAGCAGATGAAGAAGAATTCGACGAAGAAGAGGGTGAAGTTGAGGTCGATGGAAACTAGTTTTATACTCACTCACACATTTGCCATTTAGTAATCATTCCGCTTAAATAATTTTGTGTACATGTATTGTATATTTTGTTACGTTAATTACGCTAAAGAAATCTAAAACTTTTTTAGAAAAAAAAAAAAAAAAAAAATTACGTCACAAGATTTTGGCGATTTTATTGTTGAGTATATGAATAATCTTACGAGAAGAATATTTCAGGAGAGCAGAGAATGAGCTGTAGAACAAGGTGTCAGTTATATTTGCAGGTATATGATGATATATAAGTGAATTCTGGTAGAAATAATGACTGACGTTCGTAATAACGATGAAGGAAAATGGACAAGTGTAATGAATACGAAATGTTAGGACAACATGATGGTTGCAAACATAAATATGGCTGGATGTAGAGATATATTAGTTGAAAATTGGGATATTATAATATAAATTGGGATGAATTTATCAGAGAGTAGATAAATTAACTGTACAAAAAATTGTAGATATATGTTGCAGGAATAGCATAGTACCAAAGATGTAGGTTATAGTTTAATCTGAATTAATATTGAGAATTCGTCATCATTTAAATAATGATTTTAAAGATTGGCTCTCAATTTGATGTCGGTTCGATGTGTCTTTATTGGATTGGAAGATCTGAAGCTCATAGGTGCAGGCAGTTTGAGAAATGTGAGATGGCATTATATAGATTACACATTTAGATTATATATGTCACAGCTAAAAACTAATTTTATAGGAAGAGGGTTTACATAATGTGTCATAGGACTGAAGTGGATAACATGATTGAAAGGAAAGATTACGATTAAAATTTTTAATAACGATATGGAATGAACTGTGACGTAATTTTCCTGGCGGACGACAAGTGGGAAATTACGCCACCGGTAACAAAACGAGGATCCCAGGATTCGCCCTAGTCTGGTCGCGGGGAGTTTCCCAGGAGTCGATAGTGATTCGGATAGCCTAAGTTTGATAGCCCTGGTTGTCAGAGCTCGAGACGAACGTTGCGGGTTACTAAACACCCTACTCGAAATCACCACTCTAGCCTAGGGCTTGTGGGGAAATAAATAATTTTGACTTGACTCTGTGGGCAAATATCTAAATGACACACTACTAGCTAACTTAACAAATCAACAAGTAAGCTAAGTAGTCACTCCGCTTACCTACGGAGTTACGTCGTCAACCTGAAACAAACAAGGTTAGTACAAGATAGGCCTAACCTAGCCTAACTCCCACAGAGTCTGAATTTACTAAACAAGAAAACGAGTTGGCTTAAGTTGTCCAAGTGAGACACGAAACGAGAGAAAAACTGAAACTAAAAATAAAACTGCTTCAGGAGCTGATACGAAAAAAAGAAAAACTAAAACTTCAACTTCCCCACGTGTTCAACTTAAGCAAACTTCTGCAATAATTATCAAGCAGAAACCTGTCTGCTGGGGCCAACTGCGGGGCGTTCGGGAACTTTACAAAGGGGTTTAAGAATTTAAAAAGAAAGTCCCAGATATGGATTACGAAACGTTAATCGAAATGATCTGTCACCAACTCCGATACTTAAAATTAAATGAGTTGGTTAAAGCGTATGACGAGGTCTGTGAATCAGGCCTAGACTAGGACCTTCGACAAAGTTCTGCCGAAACACAAGTGACAAAAGAAAAACCTAAGTTGTCTTAGTTTTACACAACTTACCAAACGAAGTAATACTACTGTAAAACACTTTTAGCGCACTCGATGCACCACGACCTTAATGTAGGCTAACTTTTAAGCTACGAACGAAAAAAACAAAAACTCTTCAAATCGAAGACGAAAAGACGAATTAGCGAATCCTTCAAAAGCCGGGAATACGAATGACCAAATCTTCACAAAACTTCTTCTTACTTCACCTTCGTCTCAGAATCGAGACGAAAGTTAAAACGATTCCTGATTGGTCAACGAGTTACAGAAACAAAAAAAAACTGGCAGCGAAGGCAGGCGCATGGCAGCTTTAACAGGCTTACAGCCGCGTACCGCTCAAAGGTGACCCCGCTGCTCACCTTCTCTCCCGTAGCCCGGCCTCAGACGCAGTCGAACAGCCAAACAACCAAACTGACACCAACGTCGTCTGCGGTCTTGGAATTGGAGGTTAGGTACGACGTCAGTTTAGTGTCGCGACTAGGCTTACTCAACAGCTTATGTTTAGCTGTTTAATGTTCGTGGTCTAGATCGTTATATTTTTACCCCCCTACCCATTTGACTCGTTACAATCTATCATATTCTACTACGTTACTAACACATTTAAACCCCAAAGTTATTTTTCATCAACTAAGTTTGATCCTATTTTTACAGCCTATTTCACTGACGTCACACTATTTCCAATGAACAGACTATTTCCAATGAAGACACATCGAACCGACATCAAATTGAGAGCCAATCTTTAAAATCATTATTTAAATGATGACGAATTCTCAATATTAATTTGGATTAAACTATAACCTACATCTTTGGTACTATGCTATTCCTGCAACATATATCTACAATTTTTTTTACAGTTAATTTATCTACTCTCTGATAAATTCACCCCAATTTATATTATAATATCCCAATTTTCAACTAATATATCTCTACATCCAGCCATATCTATGTTTGCAACCATCATGTTGTCCTAACATTTCGTATTCATTACACTTGTCCATTTTCCTTCATCGTTATTACGAACGTCAGTCATCATTTTTACCTGCATTCACTTATTTATCATCATATACCTGCAAATATATCTGACACCTTGTTCATTCTTCTGCTCTTCTGAAATATCCTTCTCGTAATTCATATCATCGTATTTAACATCGTATTCATATACTCAACAATAAAATCACCAGAATCTTTCATATTCTACTACGTTACACACATTTAAACCCCAAAGTTATTTTCCTTCAACTAAGTTTGACACTATTTCTACCGCCTATTTCACTGCGGTTTAATCCCTAAAACCTAATCTCATGTAAGATTTTCCCAATTTTCAACTATTATATCTCTACATCCTGCCAATCTACGTTTGCCACCAACATATTGTCCTAACATTTCGTATTCATTACACTTGTCCATTTTCCTTCATCGTTATTACGAACGTCAGTCATTATTTCTACCAGAATTCACTTATATATCATCATATACCTGCAAATATAACTGACACCCTGTTCTACAGCTAATTCTCTGCTCTCCTGAAATATTCTTCTCGTAAGATTATTCATATAGGCTACTTAACAATCAAATTGCAAAAATCTTTCATATTCTACTACGTTACTGACACATTTAAATCCCAAAGTTATTTTCCACAAACTAAATGTGAACCCATTTCTTCAGCCTATTTGAAGCCCCTAAAGGCAAAGTGGACTAACCCTCAAATTTTCTGTTTTGAGATTGGTATAACTACTGGTGAAGAAAAATCAGCTCTATATAATGTTAAAACAAGCCAAGCTGTATCAGCTGTATTTTTTTTTTCTAGAACAAAAAAATGTTTAGTCCAAAATGCATTATCACACATCTTCTTCTAGGCAGAATGGTCAGAAATATAACTACTACCTTGTTCTAGAGTTCATTCCATATCGTTATTAAAAATTTTAATCGTAATCTTTCCTTTCAATCATGTTATCCACTTCAGTCCTATGACACATTATGTAAACCCTCTTCCTATAAAATTAGTTTTTAGCTGTGACATATATAATCTAAATGTGTAATCTATATAATGCCATCTCACATTTCTCAAACTGCCTGCACCTATGAGCTTCAGATCTTCCAATCCAATAAAGACACATCGAACCGACATCAAATTGAGAGCCAATCTTCAAAATCATTATTTAAATGATGGCGAATTCTCAATATTAATTCAGATTAAACTATAACCTACATCTTTGGTACTACGCTATTCCTGCAACATATATCTACAATTTTTTTACAGTTAATTTATCTACTCTCTGATAAATTCATCCCAATTTATATTATAATATCCCAATTTTCAACTAATATATCTCTACATCCAGCCATATCTGTGTTTGCAACCATCATGTTGTCCTAACATTTCGTATTCATTACACTTGTCCATTTTCCTTCATCGTTATTACGAACGTCAGTCATTATTTCTACCTGCATTCACTTATTTATCATCATATACCTGCAAATATAACTGACACCTTGTTCTACAGCTCATTCTCTGCTCTCCTGAAATATTCTTCTCGTAAGATTATTCATATACTCAACAATAAAATCGCCAAAATCTATCATATTCTACTACGTTACTAACACATTTAAACACCAAAGTTATTTTTCATCAACTAAGTTTGATCCTATTTCTACAGCCTATTTCACTGAAAACACACTATTTCCAATGAACAGACTATTTCCAATGAAGACACATCGAACCGACATCAAATTGAAAGCCAATCTTTAAAATCATTATTTAAATTATGACGAATTCTCAATATTAATTCAAATGTAACCATAATCTACATCTTTGGCACTATCCTATTACATATCGTCAATACAAATTTTTATCGTAATCTTTCCTTTCAATCATTTTATTCACTTCAGTCCAATGACACATTATGTAAACCCTCTTTCTATAAAATTCATTAATAGCTGTGAGAAATATAATCTAAATTTGCAATCTATCCAAAGCCATCTCACATTTCTCAAACTGCCACAAAAACTACTCAAGCCATATCGTAGCCCCGCACAAGATACTAGATTCTCCTTGTCACCCTACATCAAGATAGCAGAAAAGAAGATCAACAGCAGTTGCTAGACTTCAAGGTACAGAAAAAATCTCTGGATTCATTATGAATTCCTTAATATATGTTCTTTTACTGCCTGCACCTATGAGCTTCAGATCTTCCAAACCAATAAAGACACATTGAACCGACGTCAAATTGAGAGCCAATCTTTAAAATCATTATTTAAATGATGACGAATTCTCAATATTAATTCAGATTAAACTATAACCTACATCTTTGGTACTATGCTATTCCTGCAACATATATCT